TTTTAATTGGTGAGATTCGGATGCAATTCATGTGCCCTCCCACCCCAGGCAAAGCACAGATTGATTTGGACAGAAATACGTGAGGGAATTCAGGAAAGGAGAACGGTGCACAGCCAGGAAAGAGCTAAGGATGTTGGCCGAGAGCCAATCACCGCTTGGATCGCTTAGATGATACTTCCCCAGGTTTGTCAGGATGACCTTTTATCCACACTACACTGGGGCATTCCCCAGTGCTTAGACAGTTTACTCTAACCACACAGCCTGTAAAATCTCTGAAGTCTAAAAATGCATCATTGAAGGTGAAAGGATCACACGGAAGATGTACGTGACGATGTTCAGCCAGGGAGCATCTCAGTGTAACCATTCCAAAGACAGTCAACTAGGATTGGCTTTTGTACATTACATCTTTTATTTGTGTGTGTATCTGTGTGGTATCTTACTCACAGTTTGAAGAGACACCAATGAGGCTTATGCTAAGTAAGGCCTTCCAAACTTTGTAGTGGGCTATTGCAACTGAAAATGGGTGTAGCTGAAGCTCGGGAAGTCATCCTTTTTTATTTTTCATTTCCTTTACCAGAAACGAGCTTACCGATCAGGAACATTTTTCATTCTATGGTCAGGACAGGACACAGAAAGAACTTGAGTTGTTTCTTTTATTTTCTGTGTGAGGAATCCTTTATGGGTTGGAAGCATAAGAATAACCCGTACTGCATCAGTCTCAAGCTCAGTCCTTGAGAAGTAGCAGCCCTGTAAGACCAGAGTTGTGACCGAGTCAACCACTGGTCATACATGTAGATGAATCAGTCACAAGTCAGATCACAACAACTGAGCTGGCGATGAACACCGACAAAGCACATCCATGTCACAGTTCAATGAGTAACTAGTGACTCCGCTGGACAATGTATAAACACTGGATTGGCCTTTGACTGAACGTGATTTGTCACAACTCAATTACAACTTTGCGGTTACTGCAACCAACTACGGATTTGTCAATCAAAAGGAACTGGAAGTGAACTGGAATTTGCTTTTCTGAAATTGAGTGTTGGCGTGATGAGAAACAAAGGCATGTTGAATAGATTCAAAAAGCTAATAACTCAGGTTTAAGCATTGCATGCAGTCAATTGGTTAAGGTTAATGGACACTTTTTTACATGTAAAGCGTAAGAGCAAGAACGAGACCAGCATTAACACAAAACTGGGAACCAAAGTAGGACGGAAAGAAAAACAACCAAACACAATTAAACACATAGGAATACTTTTAAATAGTGTGAGGTAAAAACACAACAACCAAGGTCTCAGAATAAACAATCTAAATAAGATGCAGGAATCTGGAGTTAGAGGCACAAAAGACAAAGTGTTTCATTTCGGGTGAAGTCAGCCTGCTCACATCAATTAAAAAAAAAAAGAACAGAAAAAGATGGATAGCAAAAAACATATACCGTCCTTTGTACCTGAGACTCTTTGTGTTTGTCGCGCTGTATCGAAATGCATTACAAAACGGGGGAAAAGGTGATGGCCAACGGGTGAAGGGTTGGGGAGAAATGGATTAGAAAAGGGAAAAAAAAACAAAAAAGAGATGAAGGTCAAAAATGATGGATCCAAAACGTGAATACTTGGTGGGGAAGTGTGGGAAAAGGAGTGGGTGGGGCTTGAAGACAGAGGGATGGGACAATGGTAATGTCCTAGATTGAGAGAGTGAGACACGAAGAAAGGCTTGAGACAACAGGACTTGTCAGGAATACTGGGAGAGAGGACACTGGAAAGGCTTGAGACAACAGAACTTGTCAGGGATACTGGGAGAGAGGACACTGGAAAGGCTTGAGACAACAGGACTTGTCAGGGATACTGGGAGAGAGGACACTGGAAAGGCTTGAGACAACAGGACTTGTCAGGGATACTGGGAGAGAGGACACTGGAAAGGCTTGAGACAACAGGACTTGTCAGGGATACTGGGAGAGAGGACACCGGAGATCGTGGAGAACAAACTATTCAGGGAACAATGAACCAGTTGCTTAAAAAAAAATTCGGCAATTAATTTAATTCTCGAGTTGAGGGATCAATCTAATATCATCAGCACAGAGTCATCTTTTCCTCCAATAAAAACTAACTTTAAGAGTTAATGCAGACAGATTCTTCTGATATGAATGAAAACTTGGCATTTGTATCATAAGCTTCATCTTGCTCAGGGTGACCTATCAACATTTTGGGGGGCCATCAGGTGTTCTGGCATTTGAATTTTCCAAAGTCTGATTTCTGTGAAGGCTTTTCTCAAATCACTTCAAGTATCAAATGCAAAACCATAAACGAGTCAACTGCATAAAAAATGTCTTGCTGTATATTCAAATAACTTGGAACAGATTTTTTTCAACCTTTGTGGGACTAACATGTCACTTGGTGACAATAAGGTAGAAATGCCAGAAAGTATACACTGAGGAATCACAACAAAATAGGAACATCTACCTGATGTCATCAGAGATAAAGCGCTGAGTAGACTTTATTTTCATTTTGGTGGTGCATCTATTTCTCTAAACCAAGATTTTTTCCGTACGGAACAACACTGTTGACCTATTCTTAATCTTGGGGGGGGGAAAAAGTTTATCTGTGGTCAGGTTCCCAAGCAGGAACGAGAGCATAACGGATAAACAATGAGACTTTTCAAGGGAGAAGGACGAGGCAGTGACAGACTGGTAGAGGAAACATTTGGTTCAAGAGATTTCCGACCCTGAGCCAATGCCAAAGAACTGCTCTGTGCACTGCGGCAAATAAGTGCAGGGATATGACGCATTTCGCTCCTTACACTTCATGAGAACCACTTCAACCAGACTAAAATTTGAGTGAGTTCAGACTTTTCCTTGTGTCAAACACAAACGCTAGCCTGGTGATACGCTCTGTGGGTATGGCTCACAGTCAGTATTGCAGGAATGGAAGCAGGTTTATACTCAATGCTTAAGGATAATGGCTTTGCATAGAGCGGAAAGAACAATTGCAAAATCTCCTTCAATCATCTCCAACAATTTCACACAGCTATTCAGACCATTCTTTGAAACTGAATATAACTCTACAAGCAAAATCTTAGAAGTTATATATATTTCACATGATTCCCAAAATTTGGTTATAAATCAACAGATCTACCAGGGATGATTATGTGTACTCAGTAAAAAAAAAAATAAACAAGTCCAGCAATGGCCTTGGAAAACCAAAAGCCGTCACTTGACTCTGCTGCATTATTCTTTAGTGATATGATGTTGGATATAAACCTGCTTCTCCAGTTGGGTAAGACAGGGAATAGGGGAAGAAGGAGACAATGGAATGTGGGAACGACTTTGGGAGTAGATGCCAGGCCCATCTGACACCAAGACTGAGGCACAAGGAAAGAATAAGAGACTCAAGACACATATCTCGGCGTGTTGGGCTGGCTTTTGGAACATGTGGCATCGGATGCACCACTGACAACACTACAACAAATGCTTGGGAGACAGCTTATATGCAAACACTCTTGTGGTTTGCGCAAGGGGAGGGGTAAAGGCTGTGACCTGCCAATGACCTGCCCACCTGATGCATATGCACTATAAGCATGCGCATGTCATGCATATTAACAGCCCTCATTTGCATCTAGGCATCTACAGTTTTGAAGGCCAAGACAAGCATCTTCATTATGCTGTCGACAACCATTCAATATCATCATTATCATAATATGCAAATATCAGCCCCAAAGCATGCAGGGAAAACTTAAGAGGATGCTTCTATATATTCATTGACTCAAGTCTAGTTCAGACCCAAAAAAAAAAGTCTGTATGTCTAATCTTAACTCTTCAACACAGCGCAACAAATATTTTTTTCATATCATTAGAGAACAGTCTTCAAATACTATTTCCCCCCCCCAAAAAAAATCTTTGCTTTGTTTGGACAGAAATAGGGTCTGATTAAAAGACAATAAAGTACTACGTGACCACATAGTTTTCGTGAGATTAGTGATCATTGCAGTCAGTGAGTGCTCTGTTAACCACTGTATAATTATGTTGCAAACTAGATAGTGATGCTTATTTTCAGGTGACATATTTCACTGAATGGCGTTATGGTCTCTGCCCATGCCATACACCACGCCGGTCTACTAGGAGGCACCGGCTCCATGTTTTTTCGCACATTCTTAACATTTTTAAAGCTTCAAAGGCTTGTCCACTACCTTCACACCATGTTCGGTGCCAGGATCTTTGCCTACAAGAAGGGCAGGTGTGTGTTGGGTCAGGGGAAGAGGGTCAGTGGGACTACCAATGGCACTGGCCATCAAATCAGTTGTATTGTCAGCTCTGAAGCTACTGGTGATCTGGCTGAGTGGTCATCCCTCCCTCCCCTGCTTACTAACCTCTGCGTGATGCTCTTCATTCTGCTGGAGGACATCAATGCATAGCTCGGCGAGATGGAGTACGTCTTCTAGTCGCTTCTCTGGAGGCAGATCCTCACTGTTTAGACTTTCTGTTCAATCAATCAAGTAATTGATCAATCAATTTAATAATCAATTTATCAATCCATCCGTTGACAAATCTACACTACTGACTTCTACATCAGGTCGACCCAAATGACTAATAAATCTGAACCGATATTAAACATTGTTGTTAAACTCCATGTGAAGATTAAGTTACAGCATCAAGTGCGATGTTAAAAATGAGATGAAATAATTGCTGTTAGAAAAAAATTGGGAGGAGGTAAAAATGCATACGTCAGGTTTGCAGCACTGTTACAAATATAAAATACATATACACGTACATGTAGCATTGCCTCACTTGGTGCAAACATTTCAGATAAAAGGAAACAATGAAAGCAGACTCATAGCTGAAAATGCAAATGATGGTTTCGTTCTTGTGAATGTTCATTCAATAAGCTTTTATGCTTGATATGAAATTTAAAGACGTCTGTGCATTTACAACTTGAATATGATTCCACGTGTTTAGTGTAAGTATCTCTATCTGGTTCCTTGCGCTGGCTTAATCAGGTACCTCTGTCAAATTTAACTCTTACTGTCAGATTCCTGTCTGCAATGAAGTCCTTTTAGACGATTATTTAGGATCCTGACTACGGAAAAACACAACTATCGACCAACACAAGGTAAACCTAATGTCAAAACACTGACTGGATTATTGAGTTTAAATAACAGGCACATTTGAACTACGTAAACATTAACAGATACAGAGATGAGAATGACAACAACAGTGCATGCTTGCTGACACAAACTGTGCAAATAAGGACACAAAAATAATCACATAACCAAGGGCAGATAACAGTTTTCTTGAATTTAAGAATGTTTACATATCAACTTTTCAGGTTAGAATGTACGATAAGAGAACTATGCATTCTTACATGAAGATTAGCAAAAAACAAAAACCAAACAAAAAGACACTCCTTATTTGCTATTTTCTATTGCACAACTTAGGGACAGCAAGACAAGCAACAGGATGCATTGTTTGCATGGGGCTGAACAAGACCAATAGCACAGCTGTCAGAAATATATGTACATTCAGCATCCAAGACATTTGGAAATGTGTGCGAGAGATGCATGCAGAGTATGGCTGGGCTAGTGTCAAGCAGATTTTGAGGAAAGCTACAGAACAGACAGCAAACAACAATATGCATTTCCACTGGAAATGGTTCTTGGACAACACTTCCTTTTTAACAAATTATCCAGAAAATAAGTGGAGTTTCACTGGCTGAGGGGCAGGACTGGGTTGAAATTGATTGAAGAAAGAATACAGACATTTTGAAGAAAGAAAACAAAAGATTCCAACACGCACTGAACCCAGAACTAATCAATCAAAAGATGAAACTGCTAACCACTCAATAATGGACGTGCTTTGATAACTTCCAGAAAGTTGAATATTTGCGTCGCTTCAAGATCTAACACATGCACAACACTTCTGCCAGTCTCAAAGCCTCACAAAATAGGGGTTAGTAAGAGTTAGGGGCCTCCTCCAAGTGATTGGAAACATAAATTCACATCCTTCAAATATGGCTGCACTCAAGACAGTGTAAGCAGTAATTTTCATGCATCAAGTAAAACACTGAAGTATATTGCACTGTGTTTGAAGATCAGTTACAATTACAAATACACCAACAACGTATACATTTTCACAAAAAAAGAAACTGACAGCAAGAGAGAAGAGAAACACCGAAAGTCACCTTTGCGAACATGCCCCTCCTCACCGTCTTCTAGGTCATTAGAATAGGTAAGGTTAAGAGTTAAAGGTCAAGGTCAAACAAACATGCAGATTTCAGGAGGGGAATTGAACTGATGAGAAGAAACACGCGAGAATAAGGTTTGGGGTTAAGCAAATTCTCTTATGATCAAACTGACTGGTACAAATTCATTAAAAGGTCCAAGGAAATGCTCTTCGGGGGAAAATTTCCAGAAGATTTTCTGTAGTGAGGGCTAACTTTCAGATGCAGATCATTGGAAAAAAACAACAAATTTAAAGGAATGGACCATAATTTATAGTTATTTATAATCCTACTTCCTACAATCCTATTAATCCTACTTCTAAAGAAAAAAATACTTGGCTGAACGTTTCATAGCACATGCACATGTAACTTACATCTGATAAGTTTCATTGAAATTGACTTTTTTCAGTTAGTTGATAGAAACGTAATAAACAAGCAGAAATTCAACTTCAAGAGACCTCTTTCAATTTTCAGAGGCAATCAAGTTACTGAAAGTGAGCACACACATTTTTGGGAGTCCCATAGCACCGCACCACTAGTAGTTGAAACTAATGTAGAAACGGTTTTGAAATCGTCAAAGAAATACTGTGCTGTAGATGGTTACAGTCAAGGCATGTGAAAGTACCATACTTTATGAAATGTAACTCTTGAGGTGAGGTCTTAATTCTGTGTTCTCTGACTTGTATCTTAAACAACATGTATTCAGTGTTGAACTCCTGCTTGCAAATGTCTTCAATACCACTTGACCACCGGACTTGCTGGTACTGGCTCGGGGGCCCGAGTAAAACTGAGCAGTGGGTACTGCAAGAAAACGATTGACAAGACGTGCGTTGCAGTGGCCTACTTAGATATGTGAAAAGGTTGCATGTTGTCAAATGAAAAGGGGATGGGTGTTACCTTCTATCCTAGCATAGGCGGAGATTCGCTCATAATTGACGAGAGCAGCATTCTCCAGACATTTCTTGATGGTATAACGAACCTCCTCCTGGGGCACCGGGGTCACAATGTCTTTCATCAAGACCTGAAGGAGGAGACAATGACTAGATTTATGAGGTTTATGTCTTTTCCTTTATCTCATTTTGTACACTCATCCAGAGAAGGGTGTTACAATATCTGAGTTCATGATGTGGCTTAGTTTCGGATAGTCAAAGGGTTGCACTAGACACAGCTATCCCTGGCATTCTTCTAAGGGCAGAATGCAAAATTAAATGGGCTCTAATTGGAGGTTTACCTCAAGGTGTTACGAGAATGAGCAGCATTTTATGGGACACCTCATGATAAAACCTTTGAGGCACCTCTTGTCTCATTTCGGTTCCAAATGACTTGACAATGATAATGCTTTCCCAACTTTCTCAGGTAGTATGCTGCCTGTTTGTGAATCAGATGGGGATGCTGTGGTTGCTATGGGTACAGTGCTTTCAATCCTGGGAGATAATGTGGTATAATTACGGTGCAACCCAACAAAATGAGTCTTAAGTCACTGGAACTGCTTTTGTGGCAAAGGCCTTCAAAAGACACGTGCACGGTGTAATCAATAAGGGGCAATCAATATTTTCCCCCAATACTGACCATTTTCAGCAGGATGTCAAACTGTGTGACACACCCAAAAAAAAAAAATTCACCCCTTGGCTCTCTGATGCAAAAATTACTGGTCTAACGGCTCACATGGTAGGATTGGGTCACACTTAGCCAATCCAACAGCACACTCTTAGCCAATCAGGAGACTGAGAACTGTAACAAGATGCAAGTAAGCCTTACCCTTTCCAGTAATGACAGTGTAGCCTTCAGAGCGCCTTCTGGTCTCCCAAAGGGAAAACAATACCTTTGTGTGCAGAACAGAGAGAGGATTTACAAAGGACCTGTATTTTGGACTGCTCTAGTTCCTCCAATTTTTTTCAATTAAGGGATGTGGTTGCATGTGGCCACTTTAACTAAAAATGAACGTCCCCAGGAAATGTGAAATGAAGAGGATTATCTGGACTAAAAACGCTGCAGTTTTTGCTATATCTGGTTGTTACCTTTAATAGTGGCATAGACAAAACACAGTTTCTCAAACCATTGCCTAAATGCCAACCTTTGTTCAATTGCGGCACCACTTTTTGTGATCTCCAGTGGGTTTTTTTTGCCGCAAACACCTGGACGCGTACAGTGTCGGTGCACAAATCATTTTATTGCCCATATCCCAGCATGACTGCAAGTTTCCTTGATTTAAAAGGGATTTTGGGGGTACCTGAAATGGGTGATCTGATGTTCAAGCAGGCCTCGCAGGCGGTCCTTGATTTCATCAAATTTTTCCTTCTCCTCAATGGTGACAGTGCCAATCCCATCAGGCCTACGCAATGGTACATCAACACACACATTGTGAACAAGCTTCAATGAAGAGTATACGGGTAATTCCAGATATTAGGGGATCATTTTTATTTTCGTGTCCTTGTCACATCTGACATATGATTTTGTAAGTTCAGAACATATTTTCTCATTTCTAAGAGAGATGAATTAATGCAAATTCCCTGCCAAACAAATAGTAATAGTTTGAAATCAATGCTGGTGATATTTCCATGTCAAATAACAAGGTCAGATGTAACAGGGACACAAAAATATCACACCTTTGGACCCCTGGAATTATCCCAGCAGTATCTTTACATTGTAAAAACCGTTTTTGAAAAATCTACACCTGTCTTCACTCTTAGGAGACATTATGTTAAGGCACTTACGCGTATACACAAGAAAAAAACTTCAAAGGAACAAAATATTTCAACAATATTTCAAGAATATTGTTCTGTATGCCAGTTCACTGCTCCCACTGGTGTTTAACATTATGGACTCTACACAGGTGAAAGTTGCAGAAGTACCAATTAATAGTCTAGTTAGCGGTCCCTTGTATTATGGTTTGGGCTGTAGGGCAGGGGCAGGGACTAGTCTCTATCATCATAAGTGATATCCAATGATGAGGGTAATATACATGTACATTCTTATCGCCAATTAAGTGATTGTAGTGAGCCACAGAAAATACAGTACATGTATTTCAGACACAGGTAGAGGGGTTTATCAGTCACGTGATTACTGATGGTCAGCATTCAATTTACACAGATGAGTGCGGAAAAGTGTGCACCTTTGAAGCCTGTCGACATTCTGGCATACACAAAACTGCCAATAGAAATACACGGATTCTGAAATGTACGTGCCTTCATGGACATAGTATGCTTTCTGAAACGCCTGGCTGCTTATCACGTTATGTCCATGAAAAATATCTGTAACAATTTACCCTTTTTCTCCTCACCTGTTTCCATGGACATGTGAGGCACAGAAGGCAAAGCTGTAGTGGATGAGCGTAGGGTCGATCATGGTTCCCTTCTCTGCCCGGTCCAGCAGGTTGTTCAGGTAGCACAGGTGACGATGGCAGCCACGGACGCCGTAGCGGGCTGCATACTCGTCCAAGACAAAGATCTGACCGGGGCTGAACCATCCCTGAAAGGTGAGGGAAAACACAACACTCACAGAGTGTGTTCGTAACTCGGAAACTTCGCATCAGGGAGATGACTTCACAAAACTATGGGAACTCAAAAATCTGGCAATGGAAATTTATCGACTTATTTATCCTGAACCTAGCAAAAGCAGCAAAATCATGCCAGTGTGGGTCCCAGCTCTTTGATAACGCATGCAGCAGTAAACGTAAGTTGCAGGACATAAAGTTACATGTAAGGCCATGAGTGGTGTCTCTCTAAGACGTTCTATAATGCCAAAACCTACTCGTGCATTACACAGCATTTGATTGCTTTCGGCTGAATACGTATTTCAGCTCTTTTTGACTTTGTTTGCAAAACTCACCACTGAGAATGACAATCACCACTGAGAATGACAGTAATTCATGGTACTGCATTCTGAGTTCTGTGATGTTTTTGTACTGATGACTACAGTCATGGTACTGAATTCATTCTCGTGAGAACAGAAAGTAATGGAGATAAAACTCCCTTTGTCAAATATACAAGACACTAAAGGCATAATTTGCGTATCTTCAAAAGGTAAGACACTTTCTACAACCATGAATAAACATACGTTGCAAATGGCTGCCTTCCAAATGTGCATTTACGGACTTTTCATTTTTTGGAAGCCTGGAACTCACCAGGCACGAGTAGGAGTCATTAAGTCGGTGGTCCAGCGTCAGCTCTTGTTGCAACTCAAACAGTGCTGCATGGTCAAAATCGCAGGGACTCTTGTGAATGAACTCATCCATGCCATGCTTGCGAGCTCTGTCAGCATCTGTGGAGTTTCGCACAGCACACTTTGTAAGCATGACATAAATTCAATGATGGAATGGACCATTTGACCATCTGCTTGTTTTCATTGTAAGCAAAGGAAGCACAACAAAACTAAACTAATGAAGTTTTGGCTCGGCGAACAAAGCATTTCTTGAGAAAGCACAAAATCATTCTGGGGCTCGTGACTCAACTTATAGTTGAATGTCATGTTTTTCTGCACTGCCCCCAACAAAAGACAAGTTAGAACACAAGCTGTATATGCACGTTAAATACCTATTTGACCAAAAGGATTGGTCAAATAAGGATAAGAACGCAGGCTTAGGATTGAAACCATGTGCCCAACATGCCCAATGCATCTACCCTGACATAAAAAAACTATTCACAGGAAATTAGTACCATTACTATCTTTGAACTACGATTATTCTCCAAACAGTTGCAAATGGTCCATTTTACCTTTAACAATGAGAAGCACAATATTAGACATATATGTAAGTCATTAATGGCTATGGTCGGAATTAATTTACAAGTAGTTGCCAGTTTCATTCAGAATCCACTACTGGCCACAGTTCCAAGGAGACCAGAGAGAGCAAGTCATGTTTATGGACACTGTGATGAACAGCAGACAGTACTGGGTGACTGCTCACACCAATTCTATTGTAATGGGCACACTGCATGGGCATTAGAGAAAGTGTGCCTACAGTGCAGAGGACACATGACAAATTTCCTCAGAATGAGCACAAAGGAAAAGTGTCCTTGACTGGGCATCAGCGACACAACAGCCACAGTGATGAACGTGTTAAGCAGTGTAACATCACTTATGAGGAATGTCTCTGTGCATGGGCACATCGTTGAAAAAGTGGTAAACTGTTTATTATTAACAATGAAAGCCAATTTATGCTTTACACAAATGCAAAGATGAAGTGAATGGGACATCACAAAAAAATCGCAGTAAAATTTACCGGTGTTAAAATGAGTTGAACTATTGTGACTTTCCTGGCTGAATACTAAGACACTGAAAAATTTGATTTGTTCAGTCTAATGGAACTAAAACCGAACTGCACCAACAAAATTGGTCTTGATGTCATTTTGTGGGATCCAGTCACATTTGAGTCTGGTCTGAATCCTCACCTCCCTGCAGTCTGGAGATGATGGCATTGGCTCCCTTGCCACCAGCTATTTGAGTCGGGGGCACTGGCTTGTGAGTTTGGCCGGTCGCCCGGTACATGGCCTGCACCCACAGCTGCCGGTCCACCTCCTCGTCACAGGCCAGGACAATGTCGTCCCCTTCCTTCAGAGCTTTGAAGAAGAATCGCCCACCTTGACTCTCCAGATCTGAAGAATGGAAAGGGTTGCATGCAATCAAAACACAAGGGAATTACTAGCAGTAATCAAAAAGAATGCGACTTCATGTGTAAATGCATACATAAATCTTGCTTCAGAAGTAGAAACTATTCATTTTCTGACAATTTACTTTTCCAACAAAATTCACATCCATGTGGTCAAGAGAACTTTTCAAAACAAGCCTGTTTTGTAATTCTGGTAATTCTTAAAACACATTTGGAAAAATCGATTGAGAAAAATCCTCCAAAATTGTCATCATATTTTTTGTAGTCTTTATCATAAATTTTTTTTCCCCAGACACATTTCATACTGTCACCTAAAATAAAAACATAGATTTTAGTTTTGATTCAACTGCTAAGTCTTGTCAGTCTATAAAACATTTTTAAAATGTTAACTTAAACATAAGAGAGTTTCCAAACAGAATGCAGAATTACATACATGTACATATGACTATGATCCAATGTAAAGAACCAATTAAACTGAACTAATCATATCTGTAAATGAGACTATCTGAGCTGACCTGGTTCAGGGTCGGTGTAGGTGACTGTGTAGCCATCCAGCTGCATCATTTCATTAGGGTCTGCCTTCTTCTCGCGGTAACTGCACAGGGCAAATGTGTACTGGCTCACCTGTTGACGTAGGGTGATGCAGAAGTGAGCTGTGAATTATTCAATATTTTGCAGTCTGGTTCTAGTTTCAGTTTACAACTGGCTTTTGCCGCGCCTATGATGTCATCTACTGCAAAACAAAGTTGGCGTGAGCTTGAGTTCTTTTTTTTTGGCAACTGAGGTTTTGTGCTTACACAGCAGTGTCCATCATTCACACTGTGTTGGGTATTCAAAATTAGGTTAGTAGTTCAATACACTCTGGGAAGGAATTAATGTATAAAAAATACTGCACAGGAATTCCATTTCAAACATGCAATTGTAACATTTGGGTTTTATCCTATACTATTTATTCAGGCTTTGTAAGAGACTGTTGCCAAAAGAAATTGCGTGGGTTTCACACCCCAATCTTCAGCTTGACAAGCAAGAAGTCATGGGTTTGAACCCCTCCTAGTTGTCCGTCAGGGATGTCAGAAAACACCGTGATAAACTGTACCAGTAACATCAGTCAGTGAAGGACAGAACCCAAAGTTTACATTTGTAATATGATTATTGAAAAAACACCTCTGCGGAGAATGCTTTTGCTGAATTCCAAATCTGAATGAAACTAGACTTTTGGGGGCAAGGGCCACAATCACAAATGAGATTCATATTAACCAGTAGAGTTAGCAGAATTATACGCAGTAGAAAGTTAAGCATTTTATTTATCAGGGAGCCAGCAAACCATTACACCACATCCCTCCCCCAAAAAACTGATTAAAATGCTCCAGAGCAAATGGTTACATTCATTGTCAACATAAACATATTTTCAACAGGGGTTGAAACTAATGCTTATCCACTTATTGATGGCAAAAATACCCTTCGACAAAAAAATTGGAACTTGAAACCGTTTCCAATGAGACATACATTGTGGAGGGGGAGGCAAGTCACTTGACTCTTTCTTGCCTCTTTGTGCCATAATTATGCAAGTATTTACTTGTCTGGTGACAGATTTTTCAGAAGACTAGGTATGGATACGAAATCCAACGTGACAAAATGATGTTATTGCTATTCATGGTTTACAATCAATGCACCAGTACTTCTGACTCCACACAGGCAGTGGAACAAGAGAAATTGTGCCAGTTTGCAAAATGGCACAATTAATTTTTATAAAACTGGTATCAAATATATGCTTCACACCTTCTCAAAAATACTCATAAAGGCTTGTGACCAAGAACAGAGGTTACAATGATACCAAAGATGAAGTTTTCCACAAAAGATAACTTGGGTATTGTGTATTTCAAACCCTGTATGAAATATCTACAACCTTTGATCCATCAAGCACAACCGGAAACGGACAGACAAACAGCAAGTTAAAAGAATGGTTTTAGCCTTGGTTTTTGTTATGAGATACCACCATAAACAAGAGCAAAGCTGGCCTTTAGAGCAATGAGAACTGTGTTAATTCAAAGCAAGATACTCCAAGCGAGTTTCCCCCAAACTGCAGAGCCGCACTGCAACTGGTCCAAACAGGAACTTACAAACCACTGAGGACATGACACTCACATCGGTCAGGATACACTGGCAGCTGTTGAGTGACCATTTGACATGTACAATTAATACACTAGAGTTTGGAGATTTAAAACGTGAGTGAAATAAGACTTCATTTGAGTAGAACAATGCCAAGTCTGGTCTTATTCCAACTGCTACAGGTACATGTGCCATGCACATGAAGGTTCTGGCATGGCGGTGTTCAGCAATGAAAACTCACTTTTGTCATCAACAAAGCTTTCTGCTGCTGGACCACTGATACAAAACGTGATCTCAAAGGTCCGCTGACCACAAATTTCTACATGAAGATCACCGTTATGTGTTTTTGTGTCAGGGGTTTTTAAAAAATATATACTCTGTAAGTAGAGTACAGACACTTCAGGCACGAAATCTGAAGAAGCAGGACGTGCATGAAAGCAAAGTGAAAGTTAGGGCCCATTTACAATGATGAACAACAACTGAATGAAATGACAGAATCTGTTTGCAGCACAATATTGTACACTACACGTGGCAGACACTGCTCTGTGCACCATTTACTGACTCTCCACATTAACAATAATGTCTCCCAGGAAGAATTGAAGGCGTGACAAGGAAGCATTCGACCATGCCAGTTAATCTGTGATGTCATACATGTACCTAGTGAGACCGCAGATTGCCTAGAATGCACTATCCTGAAATGTGTGGAAAACTGCTCAAATTTCAACAAACAGCAGTGTTTTGGCCAACGGCGCAGTTTGTCTGCCCTCAGATTAAACAGTCCCATAGGAAACCAATGTGTCCGCTTTCTTTTATTGTGCAAATTACCTATGATCCCTCTGTGTGTAAATGGGCCCTACATGTGGATTTCTCTGCCATAATTTCCAGTGATTTCCTTAACAGCAAGCACACCCACGAAATGCAACCCAGTCCCTCAGGGAGTCTCGGTAGATTTTCATCCTACTCTGAATTTGGGCAACCGACAGTGATGATCAAGCACACTTCTAAAACGAGCACAGTCATCTTATTTTCCTTTCAATCTTCTGGACATTTCAGTATCCTAATTTCCCCATCCTGATTCAAACCCTGACACAGACTACAGTTTCTTTTCCATTGGGCTCTACCTGGACCAGCACAAAGAATCTCTTCTTCCACTTCTTCCAGACTGTTTTTCCCATGCAGTACATCCATCTGGGAGGAAAACAAGGGGACAAAATATTTGTTATATCACTGAGTGATCTGAACACATGACAGCATACTCTGTATGCCGCAAGGTCAACGGCTGACTGGCGCAAGGATGGAGTCATACATTTTCTGAGTTCTGTGGGATGTGTAACACTGAACTTACATAGTATCTTCAAATGTACGACCATATCAGCTGATCATTTGATGCTCATGCTGTATAGGCTTTTTGAGCCGGGGTGCTGCAGGTACAGTGTATACATGAACATAAGATACTAACAGTCTATATGTACTTGGTATGTGTTATATGGTATTTGTTCTTTATTTCAGGGCTGAGTCAATTTGAATACTTCACTATTTTAATAGTCAAAGTTCAATTTGATCAAATATCCTAATACTCGGTCATGCTGACTGGCAGATTGTTAATGAACAAACCATACAAAATCAGTTGCAATAATACACACAAATGTACATTATAATCAATATTCATGTAATAGCTTCTCGAATCTACTTAGGGTTATTCTTGAACCATGATTTAGCAAGAATTAAGAGATGAACAATACTTCTTGCCATGTTGAAAATTTCTATTCCTTGTAAACTGTTTAATGAATAATTTACTTTCTGAATTATTGTAAGATTTCTGTTATTTTTCATTTGAGTCTGCTTGAAACAAGCCTTCATAGTGCAATTTTTCTCATCTGAAACAAAATTTTCCCTTCTTTTTTCATGAATTTTGCATTTGAATATTCAAATTAAGAAAATAATATTTGAATATTTGATAATCGATCTAATGTTCAATTATGCAGATATTCGGCAGAGCCAATTTATTTAACTAGGATAAAGCCGTATCAGTTGTAAACTGTTCTCCCTAGGGACCCTGGGGGAACAAAACAATGAAGAAACGTTCAGTGTTAGAGGTGGTAGGAAAACCCACAAACATTCTGGGGAAACATAAGGCAATTTAGTTAAGCCTATCACAAGTCCTGACAAGATAGCCAAGCCTCAGGTACATGTAATTAATGAACTGAGACAAAAGCATTCTTCTGTCAGTGTTCATCATGTTTGTGACCAGTCTTGTCACTGGACATGAGAGATACATGTAACTTGTGATGAACTCAACTGCGGCCCTCCATACAAGGCTGCTGTTGACACAGGCATTCAGTCAGAATTTGAAGCACCAAAAATCCTCTTCTCATAGTCATTACAACCTCATACTCTGTATTTTTTTTAAGTACATGTACACGTATACTTATATTAATGATGAGCTTTCAGTGAACAAAACACATGGGTTGTGCAAACTGAAGTTTCTGCGTGGAACTCTACAATTAAAATGGTGGTGAAACTGCATAAGGGACCTTGCTACAAGTACATGAAAAAAGCCACGCACATACATGTATCCTGCACACGTGCCTGGATTCAGATGAAATTGAAAAATGACGGTGCATCATAGGCCCCTGGGATTTCTGAGATCACATGATGGTTTTTATGACAACCAGCATCTCCTGCATACTACGGCAGAGTTATAATATTATCTCCGGTCATGTGTTATGGATAAAGGTTCTGTAAACGGGGCCAGACGCAAAACTATTGAACTCCACATGGGGTCGGTTTTCAAACAAAAGGTTTCAAATTTCAGAACTACTTTCAAATTGACAAGATTGTCTATGTTCCAACTTGCCCCGAAAAGGTGGGAAAAGTCTTTATATGTCCATATGCATGCAGTTGTGCCTACTCCTCTTGATTCCAAACATATAGTGTACATGTACATGTACCCAGTGCAAGGAAACACATGTAAATCTTTCAAAGTGAGATACTGAAATCTGTCCGAGGCACCTGTTTCTGCTTTTGCTTTTTCTTTAAACGTCTGCATTTTACACACTTTTGTACAGGTGAAGTCACAGAGGTGGCAAAATATCCATGATGTCTACAACTGTGAATTGCAACACTTACAAACATCAAAAGGAATACTATCACAAACACACAGTAGTTTGGTGACAAACTGTATTTGTAACTGTGATCAACTTGAGACAATGTCAACAGACGACATCAAATCACCATTTGAAGAGAAAAATATCATTAAAATGCATGTAAAAATAATGCTTCAGATGTGGAAATCATTATCATAACAGCAACAACATTATAACATGTACACCTATCTACTGGTACTGTACTTGACTGTAGATAGCAGTGTGTGGCTACTTAAGTGTTATTATGCTGCATGCAATGAGGCACTACGATCATTCGCTCACTCGTTATTTTAGCCACACCAGGGTTGGAATTCCATTTAAACAGTAACTACGTGTAGACTGCAGGGCCATTGGCCCATAAAATTTACTGAAAAGAAGCCAGTTTTACAAGACGACCACAGTACATCAGCTATGCAGTTGCTAGCCTCCTTTTTATTACACTGGATGGGTTAAGAATGTCTGTCTTAACGTGCCCTCACACGAGAAAACAAATACCAGCAACACTGGCCATGCATGGGTGCTACATGTACCAGAAAGTTTTATTTTGCGCCACTTAATTTGAAGTGAGGGGGTTCCACAGTAATACCCAGCAGATTAACACTGGCTCCCCAAAAGTAAAAAATACCAGAACCCCCGGACTGGTATAGCCTAGGCTACACAAGCCCGACATCACATTCAATGCATACTGTCCAATGCTCCAGTGCTAAAGTCTAACCCCGGTCCTATTCAAAACAGCTCCACCATAACCAAGTGGTTTGTTGCATTGATTCAAAATAACAACCAATCAACCATAACAAGTAGAGCTCACCCGCAATGTTTCATGTTCTGTGGCTTGTCCATGCGGATAGCCAGCTTGATCTTGATTGGGTCCTGAAACTGCTTGGGCGTGTTCATCTTGTACCATTCTGGTGTCTTGGGACTGTTGGGTGTCGGCCGGATAACAATCTGCCAAAACACAACATTGAAACAGTCAGACGCGTACGTGTGTGTTTCAAAGGGCCTTTTTCATCTTCACTTTGAACTTAAAAGCAGAATGTATGTGTAAACAGAGATTTTTCCTTAGAAAACTGAAGCTGAGGGTGACAGCATTAAAATGCAGGAGTACAGTGCAGCATCTATTCTCGTGTTACATGTACCTGTTTCAACAACCCTTGTTAAAATCTTCAACATTTGAAATGTACACAGTCATGTCAGCATGTAAATCGATGGCCTGTTAGCATGGGCTAGAAAACAAAAGATTCATCCAATGATGTCTAGCAGTTGATCCCTCGACCATATCAATAAGTGCATTGCTCATGTACTGCAGCTGAGCAGACTACCAGTACCGAGCCATAATGCAATGTGCCTTGTTCAGTGTCGCATTCAGTCAAAATGTCAGTTGCTTAGCATGAGAAACATAATCAGTTACATGTACGGTTCTCTTATTATCTCCACTTAACAATTGGAATCAAATTGTCAAAGCAAATATAAGTTGTCTTGAATTTGAAACATACGGCTGATATACGGTACTGTACACCTTATATGATACTACATGTACATATAATTTCAAAGAAAGTTTAATAATCTGTTTATGAGACAATGTGATGTTAATGCAGGTGCTGGAGATTATCTCGTTGGAATCCTAAATCATGTCACGAATTACAACGTATCATCAAAATAGCAACTGTAACTACTATGTGACCCACTTCAAGACAAAACATGCATTTTATGGTGATTAATTTAAGCTACATGTTCAGATTTCTCTAACATACACAAGTACTTGAGTCCTGCTGAGAAGAATTTCGTTCCAATTCCACCAAGAAGACCATCAAATACTTTTTGTGTTAATACCAAATTAGAAAAAAAAGAAGAAGCAAATTTTGCTTTGCATTTGCTGGGACCAAAAAATGAGCATGTGAAGAACTGTACGGCTTAAGTTTTCCCTCAACAGAGATAGTCTTAGAGTATCAGGCATGCTGAACTTCCAAAAATGACTCTCAACAAGAAAAGGATCACTTGATAAAATGGTGCTGTTGGCAGAAGCATATTATCAAGTAACTCAACGGGAGGTGTTCTGGCTTTGACAGTGTCTTTTTGTAAAGGAGACATTAGGACTCCATGTTGTGTACAAATGCCCCTCAACAAGAATTGTGAGTGTGGGTCAATACTTGAATACCATTAGTGACATGTACTCTGCACCCACGCAAAGATCCTGTCCATTAATTTTGTGCACATTGTGACAAAAAATGTCTCGTCCCTGTTCCACGCAGCACCAGTGCGAATGCGCAGTATGCCTACACGTACCTTATCTTACATGTACATGTACATCACACTCCTTGTGGGTACTCGTGCATGTATCAATGCGCCCTCTCTTGTTCAAAGTACAGAGTCCATTTTACTGTGCATACCAACTTGTACAAGCTGAAGAACTTTGCAGACAAAGTCTTCAAAACTGAAAGTCTCTTCTTAACTATGCATTATGGCAAAATTCACATTCCAAAAGATCACTACTGCAAATAACTGGAACCATTCAGGACCATTCACACAGACAATAACAATAACAACAATAATGGAAAGGGTTGGTGAAAAAAGAGGTACATATGCGAGGCAATATCTAACTTACAGTGGAAACCCAGCAGGTAGATAAACCACTGACTTTTCAGAGCAACAATTGTGCCCCACAGGAAGAAGGAAAGGCAAAATGGGGACACCTCTACCAAGCCGGTCTGGGAACACTACATGTATGCCTGATGAGAATACTGATTACTGCCAGCAGCTGTCACAGCTGGGGCATCTTTTGCAAAATTACCCAGATTTCTAAGCACTGCTGTTCCTTACCCTGTTGCCTGGGGTTTGTCTCAGTGTAAACAGTCCCATAGGAAACCGCTGCATTTGCTGTTTTCTTCTGCATGTAATAAGCCTTTGCAAGTTAACTTTGACCCAAATCTGGTACACTGAGTTCTTTAAGTTCAAGTGAACATAACAATTTGAATTCTCCTTACTAAAACCACTGTTGCTATACCTCGTGATTCGGGGCAAGCTTTTGCTTAGTTACATAAGAGACGCCTCGCAACAATACACTGTTCTTAATGGATAAGAAGGGCATAAAGGAACTGGTCCATTCCAGAGATGGTGGTCAGTATGCAAAAGCTTGCTCCGAATCACGAGGTATAGCAACAGTGTCTTCAGTCTGGGGAATTCAAATCGTTATGTTTATGTGCAGTCAGATAACTCATTGCACCAGATTTTATTCAAATTGAACTCGCATATGGCTTATTGCATTCCTGTGCAAGAGTACAGGCACATCTGCCCTCAACAAGCACCTGGTACCGAATCTTCACTCAACAATTATGAAAGAAAGTTTACTGTCCACGTGCTGCTGTATTACACACCACCAAGTACTTGAATACAATGTATATGTGCACCAAGTCCACACCGACAGTGGCACAAGTCAGGCATGAATTATTCAATATTAACCAGTTCCAGTCCAAAATACAGATCCCGTTGCTGCACAGCGAGTTATGCACAGCAACACAGCTTTACCTTGCCAAGGAGGGTGTCGTCTATGCTGAGGACTCCTGTGTTCTCTGTGTACAGTTTGATCTTGACAACAGGTAGGGGGTGTGTTGTTGAGAAGTCACCCTGAGTGTCCCATCTACATGTAAGTGGAAAGACAACAATCACAACAAACCCGTCAGGCTGGCCAAGAAGCAGAATACCACATCTTCACAGAGAAATGTTAAGTCCTTTAAGGATGCTGAAGAGAACATGAAATATACACGTACAAGCCTGTAACTAGGGGGTGCAGGGAGTGTGCCTGCACCCCCCACACGAATAAAATGTCTGCTTTGGGGCAAAAAAACAAGTTTGAGCTACAGTAGAACATTTTGCGCTAAAGGAAAAAGCTGTGCGTTTCAGTATTTTTTCCTCAGTCAATTCCCTCTTCAGGAGTTTACTTGTAACCCCCAAAACAATTGGTAAAACCTAAAGAATCCTACTGTTTTTCAAAATGAAACAAGCAAAAGATCTATGCTTGGTCCACTTTGTTGAGGATTTGCACCCCCTCCCACGAAAGGTCCCAGTTACAGGTTTGATGCACATGTACATGAACCACACTTGATGCTGGAAAGATCATCAACCCCCTCATATTGTTAGCCATATAGGGACAAAAAAGTAACACTTGAAATGTTTGGGAGAATTTGAAGAGCAAGCATACGCAGGTTTGCTGGCCTCGGCTTGGTCTGTCTGCAATTTCTCCCCACCGTCCACCTCCATGGTGCAATATACGATTCTGTTTGGTGCCAGGAACTTCAACCCCTGTACCTCCATCACAAGAACCTGGCCACGGGAGAACAAATGGATTGGCAATTAAAACTGTCCACACTATTATGAACAACTGAGAGTTACATGGCTCAGATGACATTCACAGACATTATTCAATTTACAAGTTTACTGTTCAAATTATGAACCTAAAACATGCTCATTGTAAACAATTCTGAAAAAGGGTTGCTTGTTCGCTTCTTGCCATGAACTTACAAAATGAATCACTGAAGAAAAGGAACTTAACCCCTTGATAATGGGAATTTTTTTCCAAAAGCCGACTCCAAGAACTCCAGCCTCGCTTAGCCACGAAGACCACCTGCCAAACCGCATATTCTCGGTTTGTGGTCCTGCGTGCTCTGCACGCTTTGAATTACACAGTGAAAAGGCTCATTGTTTGGTGGCATATGGCTCTACTCACGCTTCCTCATTCCCGTTGCCTTTTTTCAAAGTGGGGACTATTGTGAAGCTGGTGATTATGATACAAATTTGGTCTTTTCATGTCTGGGCTCCACACAAAGGCCAATCACCATATGTACAAGAGCCAGGGTGTGCCTTCTTTCACCATGTTTGATCAAGCGTGGGCCAAGAATAATAGCTGAAAAACGGGCTGAGGATCTCAATTTTTATGGCAGTTTTTACCGTCATCCGTTGCGAAGGAGTTAAGCCGAATAAAATAAAAAAAAAAAACACTTTTTTTGTGCACAAATCAATGCATAATAAAGGTTCCCTGCAAGGAATGACAAATTACAGTTTTGCTCATGAATACAGAAAAAACAAAATACAGAAAAAAAAAGAATTCCGCAATACCAGTACACCTTGAAAGAGCAAAACAAAAATTGAAAATAAGGGTCATTGAGACACAAGGGTGCATTTTCAAGAGCTGTACTGAAATAAATTGCACTGCAAAGAATCTTGAATGCCATCACTGTACCTCTAGGGTGAATGAAAGGACAACATCCGATTTAGACAGTGTTGGTTCTGAGTCCTCAGTTACTTCCATCATGGACACTGCTGTATTCTGAGCTCTGCCGGGAAACAACAATTAACATCACATGGTCAGCATGCACAGTTCCTGCAAAGAAGAGCCTTACAAAGGATCACGAATTCAAGGATTGAACAGCCAGTTTGTATAGCTTTTCTCACTAGTGCCTTATGCAAAGGGATGTGAGGATTACGAGATGCACGATTATGGACTTGAAGCAAAATTGTAGTTTCACTGTAAACACGAGAAGGCCATTTCTTCTATGTTCTGATGGCTGCATGTCGGTGCCTTCTTTTCAAGCTACAGATGCCACGCATCGTCACAGTCAGGCTGCAACCCAGGTGACTGTAAACTTTGTGCACATTCAGACAGAAATTAGCAACAAGCATCAAGGCTTGCCTCATAATGCCAACAACAGTTTCTCCACCCAGTGCTACATCTGACTCGGACTGGCCAGCTGACCCCGGTAAGCTCGGTGGTCAAGTGGTTGAGGCGTCTGCACCAGTAAGCAAGAGGTCGTGGGTTCGAGTCCCACCCGAGTAAGCTTGTGAATTTTTTTTCAAGCTCTCGGCCAAACACAGTTTCTCCACAACATCCATATCACCAGGTTCAAGGTTTTCTAAAAGGTGCTGATAAAGCAGCCCTCCCCTCCTCCCCAAAATAGAAATGGGTGCAGTGAATGTGAGGTTTGCCAACTGTGCCGACAGGGCCTAACCTAAGTCCTATCAGGAAATTTCATCAGGAATTTCCTCTTAAGAAAATAATGTGTGACCGTCATCTCTAGTCAGAACAATGGAAAGGTGAAATAGTTCCAAAACTGCTCGGATTTCTGTTATTTATTTTCTTTGATAATTGTGATTGAGCGTGAGGTGGCAAAAGTGGCCCCAAAAGACTCGGCTGGTCAAATCAGTGACGCGTTCCACCTCACAGTTGAATAGGTATAGAATCTTTGACTGCATGTGCAGGCACAGTACAACCATCAAGTTTGGGCAAAGACAGTCTACAAACAGGACAGTAATTCATATCTATAATTCCTGCTGTTCAGACACCAAGGTAATGGATTATCTCAATCAAGGGTAGCAGGATCTTTTTCAATTACTTCAGTATTTTTCAGTGGGGACTGTACCCCTCACAGATAATGAGACTGAATCACACTGAACTCATTAGTTCCGAGTGGTTTGAAAATCCCGTCTGATTATGTGAATGCATCTGTGAAAATTTAAACATTATGACGCCCACCGACTTTCAATCCTAGCCAAATGAATAGAAAGTGCAGTGTGGCGTGTGGCCAGAAACTAAATGCCAAGAATCAGTTTCCGCGACAGTTCAAACAATTTGCTCCCCGACCCACACAGTGCCCACGAGGCACCCCCACAGGATGCCCGCGCAGGCAAACACAAATTTATAACCTCCGTCACTTCTACCTCTTGAGTTTCTGCAGTGAATACTTGGAGTCGGTGTTGCCCTTGGAGACTGGCAAGCTCTCCAGATTGGCCATGAGCAAGTTGACAGCCGACCGCAGCTCCTCCACAAATAGGCTCTCCATCTCTTTGACAATGAACCGCGGACCTTTCTTCGTCTGACAAAAGAAATGAGAGGGAAGGGAATAGCTCAGTGCATGCTTGCAAATAGAAGTCCACAGTGCATGTTTTGAAGGGATTTATCACTTATCTATCAGAAGTACAAGTACATGAAGGCATTTCTATTGATTTTCAGAATCTGATCTCATTTTGTTTCATTCAACATACATGGCTTCTCTTCTGTGGTCTGTATCATTTCAATGTTTCCATTCATCACAGTTAACAATGTCTCACCATTTCTTAGGCACTGCTCTGGAAAGCAAAGGGTTGCACTTACATGTATGAAACTCAAACCCTGAAGGTCTCACTTTACATTGATGTGAGAACATCCTGACTCTTTACAATGTAAATCTTCTGATCTGCTACCCTGGAGAAGATCCCCAAAGAGTAACATTGTACACAGAACATCTGATTAGACGTCTGCCATTTTGAAAGGCACATGTATGGTAAATAAGTTTCTGAAAACACAACATTTGCTTTTTGTGCGTGTATACTGTATCATTACACACTATCAAAGAATAAAATGTAAGTTTCAGTTCTGCCCATTCAGTTCCAAAAATCACACTTTAACACAATCAAAAAATGCAACTACATGTATAATTCTTTTCCCAATACAAAACTCAAGAAAACTGGTAAGTCTGCAAAGAACATGAGTTTACCTCAGTTACATTTCAGAGTTCATTCCCAATCAATTAAGAAGCGTGCATTTCTTTTCAAAGTCCACTTTCCAACATTTTCTCCAAACTTGCACTTCAATCAGATTTCTGACACTTCAAATCTGTCTCTTGCTTTTTTTTTTTCAAATGGAGTTTTTCAGAAATTCTGTCTACAATGTGCAACTTTTTCCTTCACAATTGATGCAGTGATTACAGATGGAATTTGTTCCAAATGGATGCTCTTAATCTCCATCAGAAGATTGTAAGTCTGAATAATACATACATGTAAGAAAACTGGTGCATCCTCCTTTTTTCTGAGAATGAGCTACATGTACCACAATTTGGTCAATGCTAAGTAGACAATGTTCATAAAATTTCATTAAGAAGGGCAAATCTGTGGAAATTATGTACAGTAGCTTTGTACTCAACAGTCTGAAGCAGTACATACAATCTGATGTAACATTCAAAATAGGTCTCTCTCAAATGAAGTCCCTTCCTACAGGTTGCCATAAGCACTGGCATTTTGGAGGTCAATTATTCGTGATGTGAATCAGCTGCATTGCATTTTGAAGACATTTGGATTAACACACACGCGTGTATAGAACATTTTGCACGTTGCATGCACAAACACTTAGTGGCAATGAATAGGCAGCAGTAATTTTCCTACAAAGAGGGCATCTCGTCCTTAGGCATGGAAGTTCATAGTTAGACTCCCACTCCAGCCACTGTGTTGACTTACCCTTGCAATTTCTTCAGCCTGTTTCAGTCTCCCGTCCAGCTCCCTACGAATCTGCGCTGCCTGCTCATCGGCATTGTCCAACTGCAAAGACATCAACAAAAATCCATATTAAGGAACAAAAATGCTTGAGGTCTGTGTAACAGAAAGACTGTGAGACTGTGGCCAGCACATGGTGCCTGTGGGTCTTTAGCAGGGATGTCACGTCACTAGCCCTTTGGAGGTTCTAAGACTAGGCTGTTAAGAGTTGGTTGACAAGGAGAACATGTTGTAGATGGCCAACAACTAAAAACTGGAAGACAAAAGATGCCTTTGATTCCCCCAAAACCATATAGACCTTTTTCCTGTGATGCCACAATCATGCAGGATTGTGATGTGTTTTGACAGTGATGAGTGGATAGTGTTGTGATGGTAATCTACTTGCATGTACATGTATTCAAGATAAACTTGTCAAGCATGCAGCGTTTGTACGTGCACTTGTACGTGGTTATATGAAGCTGCCTGTAGGATTATATGCGATCACTGGGGCCACGGAGATTCACACCTGGTAATATTGTTTACATTTAGTGCAATCAAGTCACACGGGTAAAAGGTACATGCTTTATTAAAAAGCAATTTCCTAATTACTTTTTTCCGACACTACATTTACAAGTAGCAAAATAAGCATATTTGCAAGAAAGAGCAATGAAAAATGCTAAGTAGCCAACACAGTTCATATAACGGTATTATTGCACATGGCATTTCATTATTTGCTGCCTCCATATACAGTACATGTATGCCATTTTAATTAACAACACACTAGTTGACACAGTACCAGTGAAAGCAACTTGACATTTTGCGCAGGGTTTACACATACATGTACCACAGATTTTGCTATTTATCATTAGACACATGCAATGATATTAACTCTTGAAGCAAAGATACTGTACATGTACCAGTAAATCAATGTGATGCATTACATGGGTGCATTTTACTTGTTCCTGTTTGTGTCACTGATGTCTGCAGGGTCAGGTTATTACTTTCTGTCGTGAGAGTGGCATAAATGTCAACACAATTTGGCACACGTTTCATGTAGTGCACTGTGGTGTTGCAATTAAACCAATTACATGGTACATGTACATGTTACATGTACAGGTAAGTAAGTGCAGCACGCGCGTGTACATGTATGTACATGTAAATGTGTACATGTAATAGTGTTTTTAACAGAAAGCACTACTGTGGTGAAGAACATTACAAAAGGGACCATGTGCTGTATTAGAAGTATTTTACTAAATGCCTTGAAATTGCATCTTTGAGTTTCAATGGGAGAATATGAGATACTGGTGGCAGCAGACATACCTGTCTTTTAAAGGTATTGCATGTGCTCAGAACCGTGCACGCCTGCTCAGAACAATGCCCACATGTTCAGACCTGATAAAAAGGACCAGTATGTTTGTCGCCAAGTGTCTCAAAGTCTCCCACTAAAATTAGTTTCCATTTTTTTTGCTAATTGTATCTGTACATGTATATTTTGGGTCCTCTTTGGGTTTATGCTTAAACCAATTTTCATGAGCAAAACTGTAATGTAATCTGAGGCACTGCAGATCAATGCTGCATTGATTTATACAACAGATTGCCAGATAGACTTCCTTTCCATTGGCAATTTATTGTTGTACAGGTTCATGGCAATAAGCCAGCGAGCAACCTTTACTCAGACATTTTTCCAAGAACAAATTTGGGATTCACAATTTGAACAATATGCAAACGGTGTCGTCCTGGATTTGCATCACACAACAGCCTCCTCACTTGTCTAGAAAAAAAAAACTGGCATCACACAACAGCCTCCTCACTTGTCTAGAAAAAAAAACCTGGCATCACACAACAGCCTCCTCACTTGTCTGGGGAAAAAAACTGGCATCACACAACAGCCTCCTCACTTGTCTGGGGAAAAAAACTGGCATCACACAACAGCCTCCTCACTTGTCTGGGAAAAAAAAACTGGTCTGAATTTGAAATGTCTAGAAAGCGCACTTCAAAGTTCACTTCACGCTAAAAAGACTTCAACTAGTCTTCATACATTGAAGAAAGAGTTCATGTACAGAAGGTGATTCGATGAAAAATTCATTGCACTGATCCTTTAAGACTATGCGTAGTTTTCATATGACTGGAACAAATGAGGAAAGTCCACACAAGTGTCAACTGTTGCACAGGTCATGCATGTGATGTCTGAGATGTCAGGATCATGGACAACCATTCAAGCATGTAGATTACATCTACGTAAATGCACTGGTACATGTACATGGTACATGTACATGTACTTCCTCATTATCAGTCAGTGGTTTCGTGCATGGTTCCACACATGTACGCATATACATGTACAGTAGCTGACCATTCACAATGTACATTTATTGGTATGACCACAGTCTCGAATGACCATGCTCTCGGCATAATTAAAGTGATGCTTTCGGCACTGCAATTACCGTTACATATAAACAGTGTGGGAATGATTTGGCAGTGGACCTGTTTATTTATCTACTGCAAAAATGCATACATATCTATACATATGTAGTGCAGCAAATATGGTTAATTGGGACCAGTAACATTCTGCCACATTCATAGGTTTTCCTGAAGGTTTTATTTTTTTTTTCAATTTTGTTTATTGTCATACACATGTAAATGAGCACCCCACAACCTGTTCTTCATGGGTATCAGTGAGGAATCTACCAGTATTAGGACTGAGAACAAGAATTAAGATCTGTTCTGAAATGAAAATCAGTGTCCATTTTAATTTCAAAATTGACAGGTACATTTTGTTCCCTCCATTTATGACAAAAGGGAACTTAGTTGCAAGGGCATAAAGTGCTCACTGTTTGATGCATTTCATGCCTATTCATACACTGCACCTGTAAGTATTTAAAAGGTTTCTTCTGGGTGTTGGAACACTTGCAAAACTTTATAATAAGGGTACACACTGCTTATGTGATTGGCACCTTTACAGTGTTTTGTGTCATGAGCAAAGGTACATGTAATCAGCAAAGCTGAAAGTACCTGTATGCCAAAGGGGTATATAGTACCGGGAGCCCCACCAGTGTGGCAAATGAAGATCTACCGCTACATGTACATACACATTGGTTAGACAAGTTGGAACAACTTGAATCTGGCTCAAATCTTGTCTGTCAGATAAGCAAAAAAGGCAGCTTACATGTATGTATTTAGTAGGACACACGTACATGTATACGTGCATGTACATGTACATACATGAATACATGTATGTGTGTGTGGTGTACTTCTCCAGATAAAATGTTTCCATCTTCACATCAGTCTGCCTATCTTCTGTTAATATTTACGTGTATATGCAAGAGCTTCAAACTGTACCTTTATACCTGGGATATTGCTAAATACAGTCCGTTGTTGCCGCCTCATGAGTCTTCACTATACACACATTAAATCTAATGCAACATATCCCATCCAATAGAGCCTGTTCCTGGCCAACATGCGTATCAGACCTCCATGCTCTTGCATGGAGGTCCACCATCCTATGTGATGCCAATCCCAAAAGCATCCCTCAAATCAACACGGTGTTGTACATTGTACATGTAGTCCTCCCTATTTCCCCAATGGTTACACAGAGTTTCATGTATCGCCACACCGACCGTCCCATCATTTCTGTCAGTCTGTGTCTGTCTGACCATGGGGAGAGGGGGGAGGAGGAAGGCCGGAAGCGATGAAATGGATGCAGATGTGCATCTTCCGCAACCTTCTGGGAATCTGTGAATGGATCTGCTCATCCCATGATGTCATCCACTGCATACTAGTGACTGAGCATGAACATGAAATATAAAGCCTTGATTTCCAGCTCCAGCAAACCTTGGGTGTGAAAGCGTGCCTGAGTCTGACTTTCTTTTCAATTACGTAGCAATCCAGAGCAATTTAGCTGAAAGTACACAAACCACACTCTAATTCAGCATTTAATTAAAATTGAGCACTTCAACGTGTACACGGTGTTTTTATGCTTGTGATAAGGTGAGAATTTGATATAAACTATTTTGTGCACACAGCGAGCACAACATAAATTTACAGTATCATACACAGCACACACACACAACCTAGCAGGCATTATTTATGAAGATAAACTTCCAAGTCATCAATTAAACCACCATTAGCAGTGTGCGGTGAATCAGACAAGACACCACCAGAATCGCTGCTCATGGCCAGTAATGCCATTACTGTTCTTACTGTAGTGACACACAATACTGTACCTGCTGCTTCACATACAGACTCGGTACATGTACATACATGTACAGATAGGTGCGTGCTGGTGCGTTACGTGTACATCCCTTCAAAACAGATTCTATATACACATACATGTGTACTACCATGCTTGAACAGGGTGCAGGTACATGTATATTGACGTATTCAAATTGCGATTAACTTGCCATGCTACACAACACAAGATGTGTTCTTAATTCCTAAAGTTGTCCTGCCAAAATCTTTTTTAATACTGTTCCCCAGCCATTTCATGCGCAATTGATGTCAACATTTGACACTTTATAGCTTACATGTAATTCAAATTTTGTTCTGAAACACTCTTTTTTTTTTTCAGAACAATACTTAACCACCAGAAATCTGCCGAACACTCTACATTGTACATCTTACATGTACCGGTACATTTTTCATCCTGTGGATGCTGGAGAGAGCCTACAGCCACCATTTCCTGGCTCCGCTAGCTCATGCAGTCCCTAATGACACATGCATCATTAGCTTTGGTGGATTAAGAATACATTTTCTCATTCATGCATGCATCGCCACACAAATGCATGTGAGCTGTTACTGCACTGTGTTAAGTTTGTGTGTGGTGCACATGCATACCGATACATACTGTACATGTGCTGGTCTCTACACTGTATATGTACATGTACAATGTACATGTACATACGTGTACACATACAATTGAGACTACAAGAAATTATGGATTGGTATAATATATGAAGCTTTGGGGAAAAAGGTCAGTGATATCACAGTGCTGTACAGTTTGGTCTCCATGTACTGCATGCAAACGTACAGGTATTGCATATTGCTTTGTAGCTCAAAAGGCAGACTCCACA